TTGTTCTCGCACAATATTACTAGTTAACAACAAAAAAGGTATAAAAGTATACATATATTACACGATAAATTAGTAGGCAGTGATGAGTTATACAATAAGCAAGTAATATGATCAACTAACAAATTCCTTGTCGTTGCCTTCGATAATAATTTGACAGTCAGCTAATTGATAGGTCGTTGAGTTGGAATATGTTACGGGAAATGTATTTCTAGCGAATAGAAAGAATATCGTAGTTTGTTGTACAGTGGTGGCGGATATGCAAAGATGTCGTTGTTTGCGGTTCAGTCGTGGAGAATAAGTGTAGAGGATGTATCGTCTGCTCGATTGTAAAAACACTAACTCCTTTTGGATTTATATATATAAGGATTGGGGAGGAGTTTATAAGCTCCATTGGAGTTATCATGGAAGTATGGCTAGCCTTTGGCATTGTACATTGTGTAGGTACAGTGATATCTTTATGTTATGCAATCTTTGTGTTGGCTTATATCCTCTTCATCGCTTTAATTTTACTTGCAAGATTTCGTTACCTGTCTGTTGGATACTGGGCAGTTTTATTTGAAAATAGTTTTAATTTCGGTAATCCGACACGTGTAAATGATGCGCATGTTACGTACGTGTTTGCGACGTATTTATTTGTAGCGTACGTGTGTACATGTGTGACATTTATATACGTGATGTGAGGTACGTGTATGTGACATGAATGTTACATGCGTGTTTGGACGTACGTGCGTATATTGGCATACGTGTCGTGTGTGTGATATACGTGTTTGCGGTGTATTTGTGCGTATGTGCATGCTATTTTGCAGTTTTTCTTTTCTTCCGTCTCCATTCTGCTTGCCCCTGCTTTCCCATTTTTCGGTAACAGTAAATTTCTTTTACATAGACGCAACGTGCACATTTGTCAACACACGTACATGCATATCACACAGAAACTTTACATAGAGGTACGCCGCAAACAATTATGTCACGGGCATACACGTTACATAAACGCCTCTTAAAAGTGCGTGAAATGCATCACAATGAAATGCGTACGTACGTGCGTCATCCGCGCGTCACGTATATAAACGTTACCTACACATACGTTGATATAAATACGTCATATATACGTACACTGCATACACACACGCTGTCACATGTAACAAACCTGTATATCACGCACACTTCACGTACACATACGTAATATACTTATCACGTACAGATTTGCCTCATACACTCACGTACATCTCAGACACGTCACATACCCGTACGTCACACGCACCACGCACACATAGTTATATGCGCCACCTACACGTATGTGACATACATGTACATTACATATCCTACGTCACCTACTCATATGCTTGGAGAGGGTCCACCATGCAATTCAATAATTGGATTATCGAAAAATATGCCAGCTGGCAAAATCGATGATATAATCGACGAAAGAAAGATAAAATCAAAACAACATTTTCACCGAGCTTAAAACTGGTGGCCGAGTTTCTTCCTCACAGAGAATTCGAATGAAAACAGATCTTGTAGGACGAATATCCGAATGTTTTTGAAGGGATATAGGTACTTTCTGCAATTTTCCATGATAAATATTTTATAGAATTTCTTTCGTAGTAGATATTTTCTGGAATTTACCGTAGTAGGTATTTCCTGGAATCTCTCATTGTGAACACGGTATTTTGATTGTGAATACATGTAACACGTAGCGGAATGTGCATTATAAATATTTCGCTCTGAATAGGAATAACTTCAAATAAATCCTATTCGATTGTGTTTTTATTTGAAGATGTAAATTACACTAATTTTTGTTATAATATACATAACTTACTGGTCCAGTGATAATTGTCTTACATTAATTCTTTCTGGTGGATTGTTGGGAGGATTTGTTTGCATCAATATGAATTTATTCTTTCATATCTTTCTTGCATAATATATATATGTTAATAGTTCCGTGATTCTGCAGAAATCATAATTCTATGATATTTTCTGCGTAAAACACTACATAATTCTTGCCATTTCAGTTTCTGTTAATTAAAGAAAATGTAAAAGTTTCAACTCATGCTTTTATTATAGCATTTTCAGGAGTGTATTTTTTGATTTGCTTATAAATTCCTTCCGTATTCCATGTATATCCAATTGATTTGCTGTTTGCATCCATTCTTCCTGAACGTTTAGTTTTGCTGGCTGATTTTTTTCAAATTATTTTGAAAACAACAATTTCAGATGGTTAGGTTTGTTTAATTAGTCGCACCGTATCAGCCTCATTGTGCTTCCAAAATCAGACTTGAAATATATACCATAGTTGCTTTATAAACTTACATAAGTGAGAAATGAATCTTTTACATTTAACAATCTTTTACATACCACAAGCCTCTTTCGATCTTTTTTTCAGAGTTATGAGTTCTGGGTAATGCTCATATATTATAATGGTAATCTTTCCATTGTTAAAAAAAGAAAAAGGTCAGCAAGCATCTTAGACCAGTTAATGAAGGAAAAGTTGTGGAAGTTATAGAAAATATCAGTTACGGAAAATTCCAAAAAATATCTATTATGGAAAATCCCAGAAAATATTTATCGGAAAATTCTAAAAAATCTCTCCTAGAAAATTCTAGGAAATAACCATTAAGAAAATATCTATCATGGGAAATTCCAAAAAATATCTATCATGGAAAAATCCATAAAATATAGACATCTCTCTAAAAACACTCGAATATTCATCTATACAATTTTTGTTTCAATTCGAAGTCTCTATGAAGAAGAAACTCGGTCACCAGTTTTCAGCTCGGTGAAAAATGTTCCTTCGATTTTCATCGATTATACCATCGATTTTGCTGGCTGGCATCTCTTATTCCTTACTTTCCGCTGTTAGTTTTCGATAATCCAATTATGGAATTGGATAGTATCCCCTTTTGAACATGCATATGCATGTTATGCATATGTATATGACGTAGTTCACGTGACGTAGTGTATGTCGCATGCATGTAACGTGCATCGACATGATGTATTAAGCCGTGCTTGTGATTTACGTGTAAGAAACTATGTGACATACGTGTACATGATGTGCATGCGATGTACGTTACGTGACGTACGTCTACTTGGTATACGTGTGCGTAATACGTGTATGACGTGGTGTATGTAACATGTATTATAAGTAGTCTATCTTGAAGCCAGGTTAATAGTGGACTGCTTTGATAAATAGTAACGTGAAACCCTAAATCTTCTTGATCATCCACTGTCTTCAAATAAATCGGTTACTGATCTGACAAAGATGACTTAAATCAGTGTTACTGATCTAACATGATTAGTTTATTTATTTGTCACGTAAATTTAATATCCAATATTTATATTTAGTGAACGTCACATAATCCCATCGATAGTTATATCATTCATCTTTAAGTATTCCCTACGTGTAAGAATACGGCCCTTCCAGAGAAATACACGACAATCGCCTTTTCGATTTCCAAACCGTAACGGTGAAGTCTTATTGGCCAAAATTCGTACAAGACTCAATTGAAAATTTACAGTTGCTGGACCAAATCCACGAAGACGGCCAAGCTGGAGTGTGATCTCACGTCGTACCTTACGACACGCATCTTGTAATGCCTGAAACACATTTTTTCTTTTTTTGTATATTGCAAGTCGGATTAAAAAAAATCACGTTTTAAATTACGAAATTTGAACTAACTGGCATTCTTTCGTCGTTGAAAACATCAAAGAATTCCATAGAAGTAGAATTAAGTGGATACCATGACGGATCAATTTTGATTGATTCTGTTACGATAATTCGTTTTACCTGAACAAGTTCAGGGAGTTGTCAAATAATTTTTCTTAAAAGAACTTCAATAAGCAAGGTTTTTCAGCAGGAGGATTATCTGGTCATACATTGTGCTGGAGACGTAAGAGTAGAAGTAGATTGTAAAGTTCATTTAAGTATCCTTCTTTCGAAAATAATTGCTGCTTTATGTAACACACACAATAATAACATGCACATTTCGTTCTTTTCTAGTGACAAAAAAAACACTCCCTTAAGAAATTAATTAACTTCCACAGCTGATTCTTAAATGTGAGAAACTAGAAGGAATAAGCTGAAAAGCTACTGATGGCGGTAGATGAACATTTGCGAGTTGTACGAAATCATTTAAAACCAGTGCTTCGAATGTTATTGTTGACAATGAATGGAACATTTTCAGCAACTCAAATATTTGTTCGCTTGTCGAAGGCTGAAATTTTTTTGGGTTGAAATGAATAAAAGAATGAATTCTTGTTTTAATTTTTAAATTCAATTATGTTTGAGACTTTGTAAACCCATTTATTTAATTTACCTTAAGAAAAGTTCGTGCAAGCGTTAAATGATTCAAATGTCCCATAGCAGTCATTGCTTCTGCAACTTCCATAACAGCAGCGCTACGATTCTAAACGTATAAACGAATGAATTAGTTCGTTATCGATTAAGATTCTGAATTCTGTTGCATATTTGTCTACATGAAGAGATTACTGTGAAGTACATGGTTACTAGAGGTTTGAAATTTTTTTAACTCGAAATAAAATTTTTAAATAAAGGATGCACTACTTCGACTGTAGCAGCTCCTTCCGGCACAATAATAGTTAGTAATAATTCTAAACGTCGCAAAGTAGTCGCTAAAGCTCGACATATGATTAGCAACTGTTGGATACGCATTCGATGTGTACAAATTCGAAGATCCTCAATTGGAGCGCAAATTTTGTCCATTGGTGGAACATCAGCTAATGTTAGCGTTTCTCGAATATGAAGCGTTCGAAGATTTGGCAATGTGAGAAAATCGCCCAAAGTATAAACAAGACTGAAAACTGTTCCAAATTCTTCTGATAAACTACGTCATTGATTTGTCAACCATATTTTCAGTGGAATAATCATTACTTCAAGTCATACCGTTACGGGATTATTTGGCGTCATCCCAATGAATACTTCCTAATTTTAATCCTAATCAGAAAATGAACGAAAATGGACTTTTTTCAGAAAATGAAAATGAACGACTTTTTTGTGATTAGCGGTCTTTCGACATAATTTGAATTTCTCAGACTTATTTCATTTATTTTTGTGTCACACAGTTATTACTAATACGCATATAGCATTAAATGTTTAAAATATATTTACTTAAAAAGTTGGTGTGAGGATTGGAAATTTTTTTAAACAAGGCATTTAATTACAAATCTTTAAAGTGAGAATTTGTGTTTTTTGGCAGGATTTCTAAAATTTTAAATTTATTATCTTAAATTATCTCGTATGCTGCATAATTTGACAGTTTCTAGTTTTCGTAGTAACGCGAAAAAGCCTTCTTCCGTTGATATCTTATTGCAACGGTCCAGAAATCGCATTGTTGAAGATTCCACCAAAATCGTTTTCACACTGCTATAAAGTTATTCCCTAGTCTTTAAAGGTTTTTTTACATCATTTACAAAACATTCAGTCTAACTTATAGACAAAGCTACTTGCCCAATTACTATATTTGGCGAATGTATATATCATCTATTAACTTACTTCTTCAAACGAATACATTTGGAGAACATGCAAGTGATTTCTGTTAAAATGTGTATAAGCAAATATAATCAATGTTCTGTGTATGTTTGTGAAAGAATTCTTAAATCAAAACACATTAAAATTAGAATTGAAATCTTGGACTAAAACGGTGAATGTGTTGTTCCACATAACACCGGAAATAACCGGAAATTATGAAGCATCGGAATAGCTTTAGTAGTACGAATTACGCCCACTGCAGGAGAATTGGTGACAACTTGATAGGCGTGTGTTACAATCTGAAAAGTTTTCTTTGCCTGTGCTTTTTACCGATTGAATTTTATCAAATATAATTGTATTCATAAGGTTTTAGTGAAAGAACTAACGGTTTTGTTCGCTCCATCTTCAATTGGTACCCTCGTCAAATAAAGATGCTGAACATCGACCCAACTGCTCAATTCCTCAGCTAACCTAAATTTTTTCCAGAAATTGAACATTTAACATATTTATGCAATTTATTAGCACCGAGCATTAGCTAGCATTTGTTAAAGTCCGTTAATCATGCTTAATTCATTAGATTTGTTGACTTAATTATTTTGCAGAGATTGCAGTTAACTGATTCACTTCTCGCTGGGTGTGTTAATTTATACAATTATTTCCCTGGAAATTCATTGAGAAAAACCTTTTATTAATGCAGCAAATGCGACATCGTGTAAGAGCATCACACAAATAAAAGATCATCTTGATAAGTTCAAGCGGTAATGAAATCAGTGGATTTTGCTGGAAAAATAATGAGCAATATCAGGTAACAGAACATTATAAGTAAGAGATTGTTATTGGTCCAGAAAAGTTGAAGACCTTAATGAGATCCACTGGACAGAGAAAGACCAAGGATAGAGAACAGATGAACTCACCACCTTATAAGTACTGTTGTTTAAACTTTTTAAACGAATAATTTCATCACGTTGTTCGGCAATATTATGCTTTAACATTGCTACTGTTTGGCGCAAATCTTCAATGGTCGATTCTCGACGTTCTAAAATTTCGCGCAAATGCTGCAGTGTTGTGGTGGTTGTTTCAGTACTGGAGTTTCCACCACCACCTTCAGCATAGTATTCTTGTGGAGAATTCTCTCCTTCCTCTTGGTCTTCCATTTTTCGGCTCCTTCTTTTTTTAAACTAAATATTCTGTTCTTTCTTTTTTAAGCTAAATATCCTGTCATCATTTTTTCTTTTCTTTTTTTTGCTATGAGCAAATATTTGTCTTCACCACTTTTTAAAAATTTTCCAAAGCCAATGAACAAATCGACAAGAATGTCTTGAATATATTTTAGACTTTGTTTGCATTTCAAATTTCCTTTTTGCTTTCAGCAGACTTCAATGTTACTTTCTATCAGTCGGGGATGAGACTTTAATATAAACAGGACGGAAAGCTGGCAATAGTCTAGACTGTTAAATGCTGACATAACATGCCTAGATGGAATGGTAGAGGAAGCGATGTAAACATTTCCGGAGAAAGCTAAAATTTAGTCAAAACGGAAAGAATTCCATTACGGTATTCTGGGCGATAAAGTGAAGTATGATTAGTAATACATGGAGCAAGATAAGCTGCCTCTCGTGATGTATAAAATACTAAAAATGACGAGGTGATTGCCGCTTTCTCATACTTATAGTCTTATTTTTATTGACTAGTGATAAGAGCGGTCAACAGCGCACTTTAAGCAAATCCAAAATGGAAATTGCCGGAAAAAAGTAAACTGAATATGCCCAACGATGCTATCTTTGAGGGCGCTCCTGACGTGAGAAAAGGTACAATTTATAGGGGCATACTAAATCAGAATCCCAACGCTCCGATGGTTACTCGAAGTTTGCGAAACCATCACCCTTCACACGAATTCCTCCAAAATTCCGTTCCAGGTCACGTGATAAGCGCTACAGTAACCGAGGCTATTACGCTTCAACTGTTGCCGTAACTCTTGCATGGACGTATTATTTAAACTTTGCGCGTCCGCAAGTAAAATTCGATCGAAGGTGGACAGGTTGTCCTCTCTGTCTCATTGTCTTCCCTATTTTACGTGTTTTAGATTTTGGCGCACGTGAGTAAACGTCAGTGGCACGTTCAATCTATAACACTCAAATATTTTCGTATCTGTAACGTATTTTCTCTTTTCCATCGTCCATTGTTATTATTGTTTTCTCTCAGTATTGTTGTACATCAGCGGTGTTGTTTTCAGGGATGTTTTATGTTGAAGTTTTGCTCTCACTACTTGATCTTAACTGTAACATGGGGATCGGCGACATTTTACGATATCATCGCACCTATTAAAATTATAAAACGATAGTTAATCGTTTTTCAGACCACATTAGCATCTGGCATTTGGCATCTATCATTGATTATCGTTTTTGGACTTTTCTCTGTCTTTATAAAATAATGATATAAAGCATGTTGACAATAATGTCTCTCCCCTTTCTGCAGATCATTGTTATTATTTCTGGTAATCTTTTCTCATTTCACTGCTGTTTTATATGTTCCAAGGTCAAGATATTTTTAATAATTTTGTGCTAGAAAAGCCATTTTTGGTTATTTGAAGAACAGATTAAGAGGTTGCACCTTGTGACTTTCTGAAAGTAGCTCATTCAACAACTACAGATGCTCGCTTAAACATATCCCTGATCATTTTTCTAGCTGCAGCGTATTTCATTCGCATATTTACTTTCCGCCACTCGCATTGTTTGTTCGCCATATCATATCTTTGATCGATATGTAGTGTGAATTGACTTCATTTATTTTAGGAATAATGGATGAACGTGAAACAAGTAGCACTCCATCGGAGCTTGCAACTCACTTAGCACGCAGAGTTGTCACATCATCTGGTCAAAATAGTTATAGTGTTGTGAGTCTTAACTGTAGTACAGTTGAATAAATAAATAATTGGTGGATATTTACTGAACAAAATTACCAGTATTTCTAGTCATTCTTGGGAAATGTTTATTGAGATTTAAAGTAATTTAAGTGTTTTTATAGGACATCGCTTTATTCAAGTTTCTTCAAATGAATTTAGATTACTGTATATTGAAAAATAATTTAAATACAAGAAAAATCTCTTGTTCATATACCCATTTTCAGGGACCAGGGGCGGCAAGACGACTTTCGGCGCAACCATCAGCTTGCCCACCTATGTCAGTTTCTGCGGTAGCTCCGAATCGGTATATGCCGGTCACTCGTATTAGCACACATCTCGCTGGTAGTTCGTCTGCCTACCAAGCAAAACGGCCTTTATCAAGTAATTATGCGTGTGATCTTCAATTAATACGGAAATTTCCTCGTAGTACCGATAAATCCAAAGGCTTACGGCATTTCAGTACCAAAGTTTGTGAGAAAGTGAAGGAAAAAGGACATACGAATTATAATGAGGCACGCGTTGTTGTTTATTTTCTCTTCTTATTCAATTTCGATTTATATGAATCCATTTTTTTAAGAGATGGTCTTTCCACTCTTTCTCTAACTGTTCGTTTCTGTTACTATTAAAGGAAAATTCACAGTACTTTTGTTCTGAAATACGAAATAAGGTTTAAAATTGTATACTGTATCGTGCTATTAAATAACGTTCAATGAATTATTAAATTTACTTGTCTTTTAAGACCGTTTTTTCCCAAAATACTTCGTTTTGCTTTTGTTTTTCATTTTTTTATGGCGAGCTTTATAAAGAGATGGGCTGTTTGTTAAGATAATCTTTCTTAGGTAGCTGATGAACTGGTTTCTGAATATTTCGATTCAGCCGATGTTCAGCCTACAGATACGGTATGTTTTCATTTTTTTTTCTTTTCCAAGAAAAGCATGATTTTCTGAAAAATCAAATTTGTAGATTTTTGCAGAAAAAAGCTTCCCTCATCTTTGGATAATTTGGTTCATAAGTTTAAAATTTCAAAAATGTCTCAATTTTAGAAATGAGTAAGATTTGGATTATATGGATGAAAATAGGAAAAAGAAACAATTTGGGTTAAGGAGTTACTAACAAAGTTAAATAAAAATTAAAGCATTGATCAGTGGAGGATAAGTAATTATAACAAGAAGATAAGGGATGTCTTAGTTCGAGAATTTGTGGCTCATCTTAACATCCCTTGTAAGCTTTATACATATACCTTTTCCCAAAATATTCAGGAAAAGCAACAATATGATATGAAAAACATTCGACGTCGTGTCTACGATGCATTAAATGTGCTAATGGCTATGAATATCATTGAAAAAGAGAAGAAAGAAATTCGATGGGTTGGATTACCAACATCTTCAGTACAGGAATGTCGTAAGTTAGAGGAAGAAAAAGCGAAGCGACAAGAACGAATACGTCATAAGTCTGATCAGCTTCAGGAGCTCATAATACAGGTAAACTCATTTGCTGATAACATCCTTGTCACAAAAGCCAAAATGTGGCGGCATTAATCGGTGACATCGCATCTCATAAGTTTTAAGATGGCCATTGAATGCTTCATGTAATTTGTGTATTCCAATAATTATTTTTAGTAAATTATGGCACCAAATTAACACCACAGCTGAGCCTTTTTCGGCAGAACAAAATTAAGCCCATATCGGGCTGGTAGTGATGCGAGGATTTTTTCCATCGCTAAACAAACAGTATCTTTCTAGCTTGTGGCGTATAAAACCTTGGTGGAGAAGAATCGCGAGCTGGAGCGTGATAATGGCCGTCCTAAGGAGGATTCGATACTTTATTTGCCATTCATTATTGTTAACACAGCGAAAAAAACTTTCATCGATTGTGCTATCTCCCATGACAAGTGTGTTCGCAACTTTCTTTATGTTGCATTTTTTTTTCTTTATATGTTGCATATGGTAACCATAGTCTCTGTCTACCATAGTCTCTCTACCATAGTCTAACCATAGTCTCTGTCTCTGCTCTTATGTTGCTTATTCGGAATCAAAGTTTTGATTCCTTAATCCGCAAAATATGGGTAGATAATTAGATAACTATCCTCGCATGTGGCTATATTGCTTATTATTAAGTAGAATAATTGTTTCTTTACATTCGAAAACTAATATTTGGTTATTTGTGAATTACATCCATTCGTTCAGAATTTATTATTTTCCTTGAAAAACCTCATTTTCTTATAATTTCAAATTTTCAAATACTTTTTTTGACTGTTAAGACTTCTGCTCAGTTATTTTAGTATCTTAACTGTTATTGAAGTTTATTATTTCGACGCATATGTATGTAATTTAGAGTTGTTATAACCTCTTTGTATCCATAAAATCCGGCATTTTAAGAACCGAATATCTGTTCAATTTCGACCAACCATTCGAAATTCACGATGATATCGAAGTACTCAAAAGGCTTGGACTTGCGTATGGCTTAGACCGCGGTGAAGTTAGTGATGTTGATCGTAATAAAATAAAATCTTATTTGCCTCTTTGTCTTCGTGATTATGTCGATCAAATTATTGATGGTGAGTTTTTCGAGTTTTGAGGGAGTTAAATGATGAATCTTTAGCATAATAATAATGTGAGATATTAGCATCTTTTAATGTCACTAGAGTTGGACTTGTTTTTTGATTATTTTCACGGAACATTTCTAACTCGCAAAAGTATGATGTATTTTTATACAATTCCAAGAAGACGTAGTAAGCAGTGATCACATATTTATCATCTCAGACCTACTCTATAGGTACTTGGAATAATGCCACCTACGATATCTCATCGAACATTATTTCAATTGTTAACACATCGCAAGACAGTAAACAGTAAGCTTAAATCATTTCATTTTGCATAGTGTTTTTATGCACTTCTAAATTAAATGGATGGATATATCATTGAGTGAATTCTGAAATATTCCATCGAGATTTATAAAAAATATAAACTTGAATTTCAGGACCGTTTATGCCATAGCTTCAGCACCACGCGCTGAAGACCCAACAGTTGGTATTCCACAAAGCTACCAGCAACCAAAACGTTTAACGTCATCCGCAGCCCGAGTTATTCCACCTGTTCTTCCACGAAATGTTGTTACTGGCACCAACACTCTTCAAACAGATTCGGATTCGGTCATTTTCCGATCCCTTATTTTAATTTGACTTTTGGGGCAAATAAGCCAGGATATGAAGGGATATGTTCTTGATAGTTCTGTCTGATTGCAGAGCTTTTTTTTTCTAGAAGTACATAACAACAAGTTCGAACGGATATCGTACCATTCGTGCACCAGTGCGACGCTATAATGTACAAGAAGGTTCGAGCAACATACAACAAAGAGCATTTAATAGAAATAGACAAATTGCCTACACTATCCAGGTTCTTTTGGCATTTTTTATGTAATGGCACATTTTTTTTCCCCCATAGAGATAACGACCATGCTTTGTTGGCACCGTATAGCTTGAGTTTAAGGTGTTAAGTTTTATTTAATTTCCCAGTGTGACATTGTGTTCGTTCAAAGGTGTTGAAAGCTTCTAAAATATGTATTCGGTAGAATTCTCTTTACTGCACTTTTATTGTAATTTGCTGATTCTTAAATTTCAAACAAAGATTACTTTATTTAAAATGAAATTAGTATAATTTAGGATATCGGACAGGACCAGCTCTCTGAAGAACAACAATACGAAGAAGTATATGAAGAAGACGAAGAGGAAGAAAATTTAGGCTATGAATAGTTTGATGCTTGTAAGCCAATGCAACAAAAACTGCTTTTTGAAATTTTTAGTTTCTAGCTTCCATGTTTCCAATAGTGTGTATATTTTATATGATGATTCATGGTCGAGTCTTTTCCTAACACTAATTATTTGGGCTATTTTTAGCTGAAGCGCGAGCGAAATTATTTATTACAGAGAAACTAGACAGAACATTTAATGACTGTGTGATGATCAGATTTCGAAGGATATTCATAAGCCCAGTAATCGCAATATACTGAAACGTAGTTATTATCTACCCGTTGGTGGCACGATTCGCGCAGAATGTTATTTGAATCCATTTTTCATCTCAAAAATCTAGTACAAAAGTGATTTTTTCACTCACTGAAGAAGCGTCATCTAAAAATTCCAAATTGAGTCGTTTTTTATGCATTTATCAATATATTTATATAATATGAAGTGTGAAGACAGTTTATTAATTCCCACTGTTTTTATTGTTAACTGATTTGACAATCTTAGTCATTTTTTCTTTTTCAATTCATTCCTATTTGCAGTTGTTTTATAGCCATTATTATTGCATGTTTTATCCATTTTCCAAAAAAGTGATATCCATCTTGGATAAGTTGCGAAGATACATTTTTCAATGGAATAGTTTCTGCTTTGTTGCATATTTGTAGAATGATATTTGAATCCATTTTTAATCTCAAAAATCAAGTGTAAAAGTGGTTTTTTCATTTACTATTTAATTTTCGGAACAAATTTTAATTGAAAGATTTTAATGAAATATGTAAATTTTTCTTCCGGACATAAAAGTTTTTGGATTTTTAAATGCTTTGATATCACAGGAATTACTTGGAATGTTTGGAACCTGTAATTGCTGAATAAATAGAGTTTAGAAGATATGTCGATGTTTTCGAGTAAGATTTCATGAATTTTTTGATGGGATAGTGTTATATAGCTGTTGGTTGCCGAATAAAATATCGAGCGTAGTTAAAGGCCTTCTTTTAAGAAGGAGGCTTTCGCGACCTTCAGTGATTCTGTATTTGTTACGGCGTGTTGCTGGAGCATTTCCGATGGTATAATTTTGGATGGATAAAGAGGTTTTTAGTATGTGTAATAGAAAATGATAGATCAACGTTAAGCAGTGGAGATGTAATTAGCGTTGTTCCAGTTTACTTGGCGGTATGTGTAATTTAACAACTTAACGTTAAAGGCTCTACGAGTAGTAACGGGATTAACTTTTGGTAAGAAGGTTACGGGCAGTGTCGGGTTTTCTGTCAGATTTTTTGTGTCAGGTTTTATTCAAAAATTTTTTGATTAACTATGTGAGGTTACTGATGGACTGATTCACATTTACATGGGGGTGAATCCTGGAGTATTTTAGGATTTTTTTAATCGAAATTTCTAAATGATATTAATTCGTTGGTTCATCACGAAAGTTAAGTGACAAAATTAAAATATAATTTGTGCATTCAGAAACTTATGCACTTTCATTCAGAAACTCATGCAGTTTACATTCAGAAACTTATGCACTTTCATTCAGAAACTCATGCAGTTTACATTCAGAAACTTATGCATAACTTATGCACTTTCTGGAAGACATTGTACAAACTATTAGAAAGTCATGAGGACTTGTTTCAAACTCTCGTAAAAATTGCCTAATTTTCCTGTCTTGTGAAACAATTCTGTAACTTGCCTGTGAAATACGATTTTTGGATCACAAAAATATACTTGCAAGTGGTCGTTATGCTATATTTGAATAGAGGTCATTCCTAACTGTATAATATTGCTCCGATGCTTGACTCGTCAGATAGAAACAGATGTACGTAAATTACTGGAATATAGGTTACATTTAAAAAAAAAAATTCTGGTTAGCACTAGAGAACTTCCATTTTTAATTTATTTCACGAATACACCGTCTTTCTAATCTCATCTGATTCAGATATTCAAATTGCGAGGAAAATACGTCGGAAAACCTTACCAAACTGCTATTATGGATTAACAAAGATCAGAAACGTTAGCGTTGAATGGATTAAATGAAGAGATCAAAGGTTGACTTCATAAAATTTTATTTTTCAAAATGACATCACAAGTACGGATGGCCTGCAGTGCCAAACTAATTGGTAATGCAATTGCTATTACCATCTATCATCGTATAAAGCGTTGATTATTGAAAAATCATTAAAAAGTCTCTTCTAGACAGTTTAATTGTTTTTAGTAAGACCTTATTTACGATACTTATCAATGAAAGATAACGAAAATAGTGCGATACCTAAGGAAAGTCTCGTCAGCTACTAGTAGCTTCCAACTTCCGCATTGTAATATTCCGCTTAGTGTTGAATCCTTTATTAGAATGAAATTTTAAACTGGAATGTTAAGTGCAAAAAAGTGCAAATTTTAAATTGAAATGCTACGTGCAAAAAGTGCAAAAAAAAAAGCATAAACTGAATTCAAGTGATGCATGAAAGATTTAGGAACTCAAAAAATCCTAAATTTGTTCAAATTATGTCAGTGGTGTGACTAATTCTGACTAATGTGAAGCTTTATTAAAAGTTGTGGTTGTGTACCGTGAAAGGTAAACCGGTTCTCTCCATTATTTTAGCTTTTTTTAGGCATCTGCGGTCAGTATTTCTTTCCCAGCTTGTCTGTTACTTGAATTTCGAGCCAAATAAATATTTTTAAATTAAATTGAGATCAATATATGGCAAACATTAACTAGAATTAAAAATGAAAATTCAAATTAATCAGCTGAACAGTTCATGAATATTATTATCAAATTGTCGATTACATTTCAACTTGTCATTTGACAAATAAATATTCGATCCGTGGATGTTTTACATTTCCATCGAAATTTGTCGGCCATCTTTTTTGCTATTGAATTTAACTTCAATTGATGAATTCTGTTCTATTAATAAAAATTGGCTTTTATTGAAATGTGGCCTGAATGCTCCAATTTCGGAATGTGAAACTTTGTGTTTTAATCATTTCTGCAAATCGGATTAGCATTCATAGCAAGATGGTCTGTGTTTATAACATTTATATTATATCACACACTGTAAAATATCAGTTAAATCACGAAGAAAAAAAAGTGAAATTTTAGCAGTTTTTGTATGCAATCTGTTGAAATTAATTAATGACATTTTTTCAAATATAAAAAAACAACTAAATGTAAAATTAAAAGAAAAGAAAAAACTGGTTATTGTATATTTTGTCTTTGAAAAAATAACTTTTATTTTTATAAATTCAAGTTTTCTACCAACGAAACTTTTCCCTCTTTCAAGTTCAAATCATTTATTAATTTTTCACAAGCGATAATAAGTGTTTTACATAAACCGTTTTGACTTTCTGCTCGCTCTTCATAATTTTCGAAATTTGAATTTGAATCATTGAAATTTGAATTCTAATAGAATGGATTCGTTACATTCCTTCAAATACAATAAAGTTTTGTAATAGTAATCTTGTTTTAATTAATGAATGTTACAATTTGGATTAGCCAAAATTGCTTCAGTTTGAAATGAATTTCATTTGAAAGCAATTTCATTGAATTAATTAGTTTCCGAATTATTGTAATTTTATTCGTTTTAAAATGGCGAAAATTGATGCAATGATTTTAAAATGTTTTAAACGCGGTAATATAAATAGCATAAGTTTTATTTGACAACAGTACTACTGGTAGTGATGGTGGTGATAAATGCTTTGAGCCTAACTGTCGCAGTAAAAACTCCATTCTGAAATCAATGGGAAAAAACTAAAAATGGGAACAATTTTTCATTTTTTATCTGGAATAATACATTTTGCCCGATCTCCTCTCATTTCATTTCTCTAAAGTCCATTTGGGCATCATAGTTACTATTGTTCCACTGATTTATGCATCTTATAGCTTTCCTTTGCTTCTTTTATCCAATAATTTGAAACTATTGGGTCTATTTATAAATTATTAGATCTAAAAATTTTCTTGCTAAATAAAAAATTCGAAATCTCCATCATATTTAGTTTGAAAATGAAATTTCAGTTTCTGACTTTTCAAGTACAAAAGTAGTTGACATCGTTAATCCCTTATCGCTTTTTCTTCTCGAAGCCAACTATCTGCGAATTTCTTTCTTGAAGACTTGTTCGTTACCTTTCATCTATCTTTCTCAAGCTACCCTTCCTTTGTCCTATTATTCAGCCTCATTTTAAATAATGGAACTGATAAGTTTTACTTTTCCCTTCGAATAATCAGCTGTCCTCATTTGGTTCTCTCCTAAAATCGAAGTTTTTCCCATTTTCCAATTTTCCAACTCAATAAAAATTTCGTTCATTATTAGCACATAAAAATGAAATGAAACTTATCAACGGTAATCAGAGCAAAATTGAAAATGAGCTGCGTGAAATTTTGATTTTCAAAAATATCCACAATTTTTTGTAGTTATCCAATAAACATATTGTAATCTCTCAACATGAAGAAAAAAGGGCGGAAATGGACGTAATTGATCGTTTCATATTCACATTTTATGCTCTAATAATTCCGTCATACCTCATCACATAATATGTCACCCCAAATTGCATTTTATTGAATGAGAGAAGTTGATTGGGAACCTGAGCATATGTGCTATTCTTTTGAAAATTTCTTTTTCAATTAAAATTTATTTTACATCAAATGAACAAAGTAGCGGAATTGGAACTATTTGTAAAGACTTCAAGATTTGACAAGATAAAAGCGGCAATTATTGGAATAAATTTTAAAATTTCAAAGTCTTGAAGAAAACTGAACTATTAAATACAAATTAATACAGTAACTGAATCAAAATTTCAAAGGAATAGCTATGTAAACATTTGGTAAGGTCGAAAAAATCGGAATCTTTTGAATTTTTTAACTTGATTACTAATCTATTACGATGCTCAACGGATTTTTACTATTCTGTAATTTTTAACATTCCAATAATTTCAAGAATGTGGAAGAGAGAGAGAGAGAGGGAGGGAAGGAGCGGATCTGATGGGTCATTTCTTATGATAAACATTTCTGAAGTGCCATTTTGAGAGAGAGAGAGAGGAAAACTTCCCCTTAAAGTTTCCCATAATACTTTATATATTTTATGTCATATCATTCACTTTTAAAAGAATTTCGAAAAAATTTTTTAAATAATTTCTAAATTGTTTTGACTGGAAATAGACGGAAAACGATTTTCTAGAAAATGGATGAATCACCATCATAAGTGAAAAAGTACAACAACGGTAAGTGTAAAGAAAATGAAATTTTCTATTATTGAAGAGGTATTATGGATTTTTCTAGAGCCATTGCATCGAATTAGAATGAGTCATCAATTGTGAAATCGGGAAGTTATAGAAAATTCGGGAATGGGAAACCTGAATGGGTGGTATTTTTCTCTTTGATATCTTATACTTTAGTCCGTTCTGTCCTTCCAGTTATGCATTCCAGAAAAACTGCATATAAACGAAAAGGGAAAGTGTTGATTCGTTCTTCAAATTCCAAAGTACAAGGCGGAGTAAGTAGACAGCAATCCGATAAGTTCAGAGACAAATTTTCAACTAACAATCATTTCCACTACTCTATCTGTAGCTCGGAATAAATCCACTTATTTGTCTACTTATTAATACAGCAGAATTTCTACTTTAGTATTGACTACTGTAATAAATACCCTGTCAACCTGTCATAATCAAAGGTAGCACCACTTTTCGAACAGTGGTAATTATATCGTTGATGTTTCACATATGTTTCATAATAATAATATGAGCATAAAATTGATTTTTTTCAGAGAATAATTTTAAATGCTAATTTTTGTATTGATAATATTCTATGAAACAATATTATAAGGTCTCTCAGGTGATAAAGAGTATCAGCGCGTAACAGGGTTTCAACTTTTATTAAGACAAATACCTCGTCGTCATAATCTATGTCCTCTACATTTGGTGAAAAATTATAAATAATATTTTTAGAATCAAGTTAGTAATCAATTTATCACTGCCTTTTTATTAGTTGAAGGTCATAGATGATGATTGTTCTTCAAACTCCGCTCTCTGAACTGCATTGATGAACAACATCCAATCACTCCAATTTTTAACCTTCAATTTTTAACAAATCAAATTTACGGCAAACAATTAATATTTTGGACTATTTTCCAGGACCTGTTTTCATGAAGTTGCTGTGACTTTTGCAGGTGCATTTCATAGAATACAATCGATTATAGGTAAAGGGATAGAAGAGAGAGAGAGAGAGAGGACGAGGTAGTTATACGAAGGAAGAT